TATGTATTTTATTTCTTATAAAAATCCCAAACAACCGTTCATGTTACTAATGTCATGGAATTACGCATTGAAGACAGGTTTGGTGTGGTATTAAATAGTCATGATGCATGTCAAGATTAGTCAGTGTTGGCCCAGTGGTTAAAGGGCCCGCCTCTCGTTGCTGAGGGCGAGGGTTCGATCCTGGCCCGGGCAAGTACCAATGTGATTTTTCCGAATCATATGTACTTTCTAAGAATATTTAGACATCACTGATTAATGTTGATTCCCAGAAGAGGGTTTTTGTCAGGCAGGCGGCCGGTCGTAAAAACAAATAGCCAAAGCTATTCACAACATGTAAGGCAGACCCTGGCTATAGCTGGGAAATTGCCAGGTAGAAGAGTTGCAAGTAAAATATTATTTTGAATCGTAGACATCTAACAGTTGATAGAGAATTAGAAACTGGGCACAATACTAATTTTAATGATTAAAGTAATTGTGAATCTCTTACTGTAATTGTGAAATCTATAACAACATTATTTCATCCTAGCCAATTTTTCCATATTGAAATTAACTGTACTGCCAATTCCTCTTCAGTTGCTATACATTTCCTTTGAAGCCGGCTGCAATACAACTTAAAAAAAAACTTAAAAAGAATTTTAAATTAAAATGTTATTGTTAGTATGATGATAATTTTGGAAGTGCCGTTGTAAAACAATAAAATACCCTATTTATTTAATATCAAAATAATACAACACAATATCTTAAAGCAGTTTCATTACAATATAATATAAAATGATAAATATACAATATTTTTACTTCAGATAGTTCAACGTTAAGAAATCTGCAGCTTTAAATATTAAATTGTGACATTTTAAATAAAATAATTTTGTATAACTCATCTATTTTAAGTAAGTAATGGGCCATTTAGCTTAGAATACATGACATGAAATATTTTTATACATTTTAATTCTTAATCAAACGTGTAGATGTTACAGAATTTTGCATGGGTAATCTGATTATAAAAAAATATAGCATATTCGGCAAAATGAAACTGATTATGTCCGTAAACTAAAATTATCCCGACCTAAAAGACTCCTTCATAATGTACAGTATAAATTTCAAATAGCCTCAAGGTAATTCATAACTAACACATACATCATCTTTCGTCAGGGAGCACTCGATGAAGTGCACGCTCAAGGAATAATAAACAGTGTCCTTTCCTAACGTCAACCCCCACATAAATTAAATTTATAATCAACCTGTTCCCCCAAGGCTGAAATTAAATTATACCTGCCATTGGAAAGTTTAGCGAAACATTTATATTTCTTTAAAACAGTTCATTGTAATACTTTACGAAAGAGAAGTTAATTCCACAATGCATTGTTACAATTAAATTCCTAATGAATTAGGTATTCATATTTATGTTATGTTTTCATACATTTAGAGTTATCAATAAAAAGATAATATATGCATTTATTTTCACAAAAATCAGAATAACTCTGCTCATGACAAGACATGAAAAAAACTAAGAAACTACAAACGTTATATTTTTGTATTCAAATTTTGTGTAACGTTTATCTTAGATTTCGAGCGCGGAACTAAATTTTTAATCTTAAAAAGCAGTCCAGATATAAAGTTTAAAATATTTTACTTGTTTTATTCACAGCCATATAAATTAAATTTAAAAACTTGAATTTCTTTCTTTTCTTTTTTACTATTGCAACTTTAATGTAAAATTTTATCATTTATTGACTACTCAATTACGAACATCGCATTGCATTAATGATTAATTTCTGTTTTAAAGAATAAAATATACATTAATTTCATTACAAAAACATTTTAACATAGGGCAACAAAATCATTTTCATTAAGTTAGAATAAACTATTTGTGTGATAGAGATATTCACTGGTGAAAACAAAACCGTAAAACCTGATTGGTATATGCTAATTTTATAATTATAGCAAAGTATATATATTTCTATCCATGTATATTTTATATTATAGCATAGTGATTTTTATATCTCAAATTATTTAATCATAAATCTGTCCCCTCTAGACTGAGAAATGTTATGCCATACCTCATTTCCTAATGTTTGTCAGTGAGATAGATATAACTTGGCCAAATTTTTCATCGAGTAGATGTCGGAGTATTTGTCCAACGGAGATAATAAATCACCGACTTGCATGTTACAGATTTAACAATTTATCTTGGAAACTGTCTACATGATTTTAAACATTTTCTAGAGAACAGTTAAAATAATGTCGTCAAAGATTTCAGTTAACTTCGGGAGTTTTACAACTAACATTACATATTATTCATTTTTATTGAAATTTATGTTTCATAATAAATAAAGAAATTCATTTTTTTTGTTAGGCTTTATCAAATTATAGAAGTAACGAATTCGTTTCAAGTAAAAATGAAAGTTATTTTAACAACAAACTTCAAATAAACTTATTTCACCCATAATAATCTGCCTCCCGTTCTCGTAATATAAGTATGTTTAAATACAGATGTTTATTACTCTTCCACGTTAAAACTACTGTATCTTTAAGATATTTTCTAACTTTAAATAAAAAATAAATTATCCGTCAAATAAGAAGCAATTAGTAGATAATTAATTTCAGTAAAATATAGTCGAAAAAGTTAAACTACCTTGATCAAAAGAAGTCACTACAGAGAAAATATTTAGCCATTTTTAATTAGCTGTTTATAAATGAATGGTACACAAAAATATTTATTATAACAAATATTTTATTTGTTCAGATTATTACAACTGAATAAAGAATATATCAAACATTATACTTTATAACTATTTTATTTAAACTATTCGAATTCCATGTTACTGAAATGTTTTCTTAATCCTCAAAAGTATAAGCGGTTTAGCTCACAATGACATTAGGTGCTAATGAATTCCGGAGCTTTTTCGCAGAGATTTGACTCCGCCTGACTTCTCGGCTCATCTGAGTTAAGACTATTTTCATTTATCACATTCGTTTAAATTCAGGCGTTCCTCAAATATACTTTAAAACAATAAGGTAGGTCTTACATCAAAGGTAACAAGGTAATCAATTGTAAGTAATATTTTAATTAATGAAAAATTATGACATTCTTCCCAAAATGAGTAAGTTTTATATGTTATATTCCGCCAAAACATAAACCTCTTTAGAAAAAGAGAAGTAAAAATTTGAGCATAATTTTACTCATAACTGCAATTTTGCTGTGATAATATTTGTAGGAGAATGTTCTATTAACATACATTGTTAAGTATTAGGCCGTGCTATTTAGCAATTACTAGGATACAAAGCACCAAATAACGGGTTAATCTGGGTCAATTTACAAAATTTTCTGAATCCCATAATGTTATGGGAATACATGTGTATTTAGTATCTTACTACTAATAATTGCATCTAAACTAACAAAGCATTTTAAAATTATATGAAAGTATAAATAATATTATATACATTTAATATACAATGTAAATTTCAACTGTTATAAATGTCTGCTGCAATGAAAAGCCTCAAGCAAGCAGTAATCAGATGCAATTCCGAATACAGTATACGAGTATAAACACGCAATTAATGAACAGGGTGCTAATATTAAGCAAGAAACCAACAGGGTGTAATAATGAAGTCACATTTAGGAAGCAGGTAATCCTTATATTATATTTAGCTCTCACGAAAACTCCAAATTATTAAGGAGGCCTCTATTAGATTTAAATTTCAAAATTATTTATAACTAGTTTTTCCCCGCGACTTCGTCCGCGTTAGTTTGGTCAAGAGTAATATATGTAGGTATGGCTGACCAGGCTAACTCTATTCCGTCTTAGAGACCATAAACAATCAGGTATTGCCTGTTTCAATCAAACAGATTGATTGACATATACGTTAGTTGTCAAATCTAATGTCAAAAAAAACGTTTGTATGGGAAATAGAAAAGAGCTGTTTTTAGGGTTTTCTCGGCAATTACTCCAATTTTTCTCACCTTTTAAACCTGGACTTCCAGGAGTATTTCAAGACTAAAATTAGCCAAATCGGTTCAGCCGTTCTCGAGTTTTAGCGAGACTAAGGAACAGCAATCCATTTTTATATATATAGAAGATATGGATAACTTTATTGAAACCAAAACTATTTTTTTAATAATCAAAATAGTTTATTTTATAACAGAAAAGAACTGTATTTTTCTAGTAAATTTCTATTATTTTAAAGACATAAAATTGAAGTAATATTTATCAAAGAAAAATTACACCTAAGCTCTAAGAGGAAAAGGTTACAAAAACAACATCTTCACTTTTCAAAGGGATTTTTCCGGAGTATTTTTTTCCTTGAGAGTTATACTTATCTTGCCTGTATATAACATATAATATAAACCGGATACCAATTACGATATCTCAAACAAAAAACGTAAGCTACAAAATCTTCAATATCAATATTGAACACAATACGATATATTATTACGACCCATCTGTATATTACGTTTATTAAATAGTATGTTATATAGATATATTTTAAGTTTTAGTTCATATTATTAAATTATTGACGAAAACCAAGTCAGCTTAAGAAATTAAATTGATTGTAATAAGACTTTATATGAATAATAATAATAGTAAAATCATGATAAAATGTTGTTTTTATGTAAGAAAAATAACATAACTGACTACTTCAACACTTTAGTCACAGGGGGCGTAGCTCAGATGGTAGAGCGCTCGCTTAGCATGCGAGAGGTACCGGGATCGATACCCGGCGCCTCCAATACTTTTTTAGATGAATTTGATTGAAAACTAAAAATAATAGTTTTTTTTCATTTATATAATAATTATATTATCATTATCTTGCTAAATATGTGAAAATTATCTTTTAGCCTCTTAATCTATGGATGATATGAAAAATATGTTTGGCTAACTTCGACTTATATTGAACTGCTATATTATATCGTTTTTATTAAAAAGGATATTAAATAGAAACAAAATAATATAAACATTTTTTATTATATACATATTTTACAGAAACTTAACTTATTTTTTTTAATAGAAAGACTGTATTCCTGTTATCGCTTTTCCTAAAATTAGGGCGTGGATATCATGAGTCCCCTCATAAGTATTAACGGCTTCAAGATTCATAACGTGTCTTATAATATGATACTCATCAGACACTCCATTACCACCGAGCATGTCCCTGGCTACTCTCGCAATCTCTAAAGCTTTGCCGCAGTTATTTCTTTTCAAAAGAGAAATCATTTCGGGAGCTACTAAACCCTCATCTTTTAGACGACCGACGTGCAAGCAACCTTGAAAACCGAGACTTATTTCAGTTATCATGTCCGCCATTTTCTTTTGTATCAGCTGGTTCGAAGCGAGCGGTTTTCCAAATTGTTTCCGATCTAATGTGTACTGTCGAGCAATCCGCAAACATGATTCGGCCGCACCGAGAGCGCCCCAAGCGATCCCGTATCTCGCATTATTGAGACATCCGAAAGGCCCCTTCATACCCACTACCCCGGGTAATAAACTCTCCTCTGGTATAACTACTTCGTCGAGCAATATCATACCCGTTTGGGAAGCTCTTAAAGAAAATTTTCCTTCAATTTTAGGCGTGTCTAGACCTTTATTTACTAGGCTTCTATCCACAATAAAGCCCCTTACTTTATTTTCCTCGTCTTTAGCCCAAATAACAAGTACATCTGCTATAGGTGAGTTCGTAATCCACGTTTTGGAACCGCTCAGAACATAAGTTTTCGATTTAGAATCATACTTCGCCTTTGTTACTAACCCGCCGGCGTCACTACCGTAATTAGGTTCAGTTAGACCAAAACAGCCTACTAGATCACCCTTTGCCATTTTTGGTAAATATTTTTGTTTTTGTTCCTCTGAACCATACATATAAATAGCACCCATTGCTAAACTACTCTGTACACTCATAGCGGATCTATAAGACGAATCTACACCATCCAATTCTCTCGTTATAAGCCCATATGTAACCGACGATACTCCGGCACAATCGTAGCCCTTAATTGTACACCCAAGAATACCTAACTCGCCCATTTCTTTGTAAATAGCCCGATCAAACGTTTCATTTCTATTAGCTTGAACCACTCTAGGCAATAGTTTCTCTTGACAATACGTTTTCACAGAGTCTCGAACTGCCTTTTCATCGTCAAGTAATAGTCGATCTAAATTCAAAGGGTCTTCCCAGTTAAAATTTATTTTTGCCTTATTCGAACAAGTCGTTGACAATGTTCTAAAATTGTTCAAGTTACAAAACGCTGATATTAGTTGAGGAAACTTGTTATAGTTAAGAGCCATTATATAATCAAGAATCGCACACTATCTTTATCAAAATTATATTAACAAACAGCACTAGAGGTTATCACTTGTTAAACATAAAATGGGTGTTTGTTCTACGCAACGCGATATAGAACTAAATGACTATGTGTTTGTGATTGGGTTGAACACTTTCATATTTACTTATGTGTTTACGTGTATTTATCGTTATCTGTAAATTGTTAATTCACTTTGTTGGTAAAAACAACCTCTCTTGTTTTCCAGTGACAATATACTATTATTGTAATACGCAGCTATGTTCACGTCGTATTCTGTCGCTAACGTAACTACTGACGCGGCAGGGGTACTAGCGCGTTAAAGATACGATAATCTATTAGTGTTCGTGGGCGTGCGAATAACCGATAACGTAACTGTGTATCTAAGAATATGTTTCCGGTGACAATAGAAATAAACGAGGACGCGAATATAATGTCAATAACATTACTTATCTTTACGTAAAGCTTTAATATAACTATTTGTTTTTTTGTTAAAAAAAACGTTTTTATATATCGAAAACAATAAAAAGAAAGAAACATGTTGTATATAAAAGAATAAAACATGTTTCTTATAATATAAACAAAATATTTTTTTGTTCTCTAAAAAGTATTTATATTATAGCAATATGGACGCTGACAAGCTTTGCTCCATCAAAAGTAGCTTTAAATATGAGCGTATTACGGAAAAAGTATGTTTAAAAATAAAAGTCCTAATGTTTTTAGAGAACATTTGTTTATAACAAAAACGTAAACTTTGTCAAATAATCATAAAATGTACATTTTGACCGCCTTGGTGGCGGTATTTTAATTGATATCAAATTGAAAATTATCAAAATGACCTTCAGAGTCTGAAATAATATCCAATCGTTTCTTATTTAATAAAACATATATCACTACATTTTTTAATTATCCAGTTCTTTTTATTTATCAGCATTTTGGTATTTTACGATATAGAAGTTTATTTTACTTGAAATAATAAAAAAATATATTATAATACGTGTTGGTAAAATAAGGCCAGAGGTTTAACAAAAACAATTCGACTCTTTTATTCCAATTAGTTTCAGAAAGCCCCACTGTGGTATATATTCTAAGCATACCTAGGAAATAAGCTGCAAAATAAATGCGGAATTAAGGCGAGCAATGTAATGTTGTGGCCTTCGCATTTTTATTTCTAGAGAAATGTCCGAGAGAAAATGCTCGTAAAGCATTATGAATTTTAGAAATGTTTTTTCCTTTTTACCTTTATTTCAGGCATATGTTAACATTCTCTTGAAAAGTTGCACGAGTGAACTGATTAACTTTTAATTTCGTGCTTTGTACTGATTAAGCCTTTTTTAGCAGTTGTAGTAGGGATTTTGTATGTAAATCTTACATAACATTCTTATTCTATAACACGTTTTTATCATATATTAATTTAAAATATATCAGTTAAGACTCTCTCTGGCACTTTCAAATATATAGAATAAAAAAAATAAATATCAATTCGTAGAAAACTACAAAAGAAATTTTGGAACTTCAAGAAAGAATATATGGAAGCAAATATCTTAATAATACATAAAGGTGTACATTCACTAAATTATTCAGTCTATATTTGCATGACAAACGACTATTGAGTACCTTAAGATTGATCCTGGCATCTCAACCTTTTGTTAAACGTTCCTTATAGATTCTATTCAATCTACCCTTTCTGTTAGTACTGTAGTACCTCAAAAGTGCGAAAAGTACTCTTAAATTAATGGTTTGAACGATTTTTTCTCTCACACTCCCTATATTTTTGCGGTCATTGTTGTTCGGCAATATATTATTACTATCCAACGGACTACTACTATTACTATGCAACGGCAATGAGAAAACGGTAGATATTTTCGCTGATTGAATTATGGGATTTTTTAAATAATACAGTATTAGATATTTGATATGAATTTCTTATACCCTATATTTACTATTTGATATTATTTAAGTACGAAACCAAGATTCTGAATGAAAACTTTGTGCTTCTTAGTAACAGAGTTCACAACATAATTATCTCTTATTGAGTAGAAGTCTACCCATTTCAAAACACAATTAAATAAAAATAAACAAAAGCGAAATCTTTTTTTTAAGTTACTAGTAAAAATTAGTTCATACATATGAATGTTCTTTTGTATTTTATGATTCAGCAAAACGCTACTAGCTGTTTTGTCATTTAATATGTATGTGAATAAAATGCCAAGCCAAGCTAAGTGCATATTATAAAATCAGAAGCTAAGCCGTGAATATCTAAAATTAGAACATCTAACATTCAATTCGTTCTCAGGTTTAATGGAATAGTCGTGTAGTTTCAGATCCTTAAATACAAGACAGCTGTCGTAAGCTATCCTTTACCTCTACAATAATACTGTTACACTACTTAAAACTTTTAATATGGTACGGCACATTTAAAAGCATAAGCTATTTATAAGTTTTACATATTCAGATAATGCTCCTTTTTCCTTTTCGTATTCGTTACATAACAATATACATTTTGTCGTGATCAATCAACGTTGCCTTATATGGTTTAACCAAAAATAAAAAATTTATATAAAGATTTTTAATTATTTTAGCCCTGTTGTATTAAAAGAGAAATATTTACTTATAAAATACTGATTATGAAGTTAAACAGTACCATTTTAAATACAGAATACATAATGTTTATAATTTTATGATATTGCAACGTGATTTTTATCAAAAGAAATCAATTAAGTCATGGTAATGAATGCCTTTGTCAAGAAGTTCCAGACGAACCAAACTTTGTAATTAAATGAAAAATTAAGCTTCATCGACACTCAAACAAAGAAGGCTGTTAGAAATTTTGAAAACAATTGGATCGATTTGTATAACAATGAAGCAAATTATAAATTACGGCTTAAACATCCCGCTTTATGAAATTATCTTATATTCTTCAATCTTCACACAAATGTTTATTAACGATAATATGTATCTCAGTATGACTAAAATGACGTAATATTAATATATATCTCAGTGTACAGTTAAAGTCGAATTTATATTTCTTAATCAAACATATTAATATAATTCTTAAATTTTTCTTGGTTGTTATAGAAATTTGTTCACAGATATAGTATTTGAGGAATATAATCGAAGTTAAAAACAACGAGAAAAACAAAATGAATTAACAAACAATATTGATGTAGAAGGTGAAACCTATTCCAGATAAATACATATAATGGAAAAATACATTTATATGATAAGATAACACTTTCACTAATTCTGCAGTAAGGCATAGAAACTAAGAATTACAGAACTATACTATGTATTACATACAAAAATATTATACTAATAAAAAAGTAATTAATTCTAAATTAAGAATTAATTTTACAAATTTCTAGAAAAGCCATATAACTACAATGTTCTCAAAAGTATAAACGTTCATTTACTCTAAACTTAACCCAAATAAAATATTTCTTTTAATAACTTTTTTTACAAAAACTAACCGGTAATTTTAGTTCAAATACTAAAAAGGATAATTTGTGAATTTGTTAAATAGTTCTATGAACTAAACTTATGTATAAGGAATAAATATTCAATTTCATAACTTTTGTATTTTTCAATAATCTTGTTTTTATTATAGTTAAAACAAGCTGTGTTACATGTGTTATATTCAATTAAAGCTTTCCACATACAGGTGTAGCAAGTATTTATAATTTTTTTGGAATGGTAGTAAAAATTCCAATTAAATGAATGTTTAAACCGATAAAACATTACATATACGAGGTGTGTTCAAAAAGTATCGCGACTTTTGAATTTTTTCGTGTTATGTATAATCGAATTTCGATTTTTTTGTGGCGTTATGTTGGTACTCATGTCTGTCACTTATGCCGACAAGCTCGGCCATTTTTAATGTACACTTAATTGTTGACACCTGTTTTGCTTGCACGTGTTTTGGATCGTCTTCGATTTTTACCATTTATCAAAGTGTGTCTCATGCCCAAATCGTTGATTAAAATCGAATGGCACGAGCCAATCGATATGTTTAGGTCCTCAGCAACTTCTCTAACGGTGATTCGACGATTGGCCAATACCATTTTCTCCACTTCATTAATTTTTTCGTCTGTTGTTGAAGTGTTCGGGCGTCCGGCACGCTCTTCGTCGTCCACATCTTCTCGGCTTTCTGAGAACATTTTGTACCACCGATAAACGTTGCTTCGGTCCAACGTAGCTTCGTATGCCACAGTCAACATTCGGAATGCATCCGCGCACTTAATTTCGTTTTTCACACAAAATTTGATACAGGTTCTTTGATCCATGGTAAAAATCGAAGATGATCCAAAACACGTGCAAGCAAAACAGGTGTCAACAATTAAGTGTACATTAAAAATGGCCGAGCTTGTCGGCATAAGTGACAGACATGAGTACCAACATAACGCCACCGAAAAATCGAAATTCGATTTTACATAACACGAAAAAATTCAAAAGTCGCGATACTTTTTGAACACACCTCGTATCATTTTAACATAGCCACCATTACTTACAGTATATTGAAGCAGAAATTAAAATTTTCTATATTAAGATTATTACTTATTTACAATTAATCAACAAAAATTAACAAATTTTAATGGATAAGCACTATTTTCACTAAAAAGAGCAAAGATTTATGCCGTGCCAGTTTCAGGTTTATCTAAATCTAACGGAGTCTTGAAATAGATATACAACATTTGAATTTCTTAGCAATACTTGTGTTCTTGTTTCTAAATAAAATGTGCATAAAACATTCAGAATATATATTTTCTCGATATTCTTTGGTATAATCTTTTGTTGCAACTGTCTTCTTATTTATATATCTACTTCATCAATAAATTTCTGTATTGTTCAACGTATATTGGAACAGTGAGGGCCACTCCTCAACTTATCGTATCTTTGGTGCTGGTTAACCGAACTCGTGATATGAATTGATAGATGCACGAATATTCGGAAATTAAATTGCCTTTTACTGAGCAGACCATAAATTCAAGCATTTTTTTATAAATTTTAAAACTGCAGATACATCAAAGCCCAATTTTAAATTGAAAGCCTATATGCCTTTTACTTTTACACAATTAAAAATCATGAAAAATAAAATAGCAATTACGACACACGGCATACTAGTTGTTTGCAAAACATAAAACTTTTTTTGCTTAATCATACATAATGTTTATGATTAAGCAAAATTATGTTGGCTTCCTAATAAAAATAAATAAATAATTAAACAAAAAGTTTATGAACCTTAGGCATCAATTATTATGTATAAAAATTATTTTCATAATCTTTTACTATCGAAGACTAGGGTGCTCTGATTAAGACAGTTCAGTGATAAATTTAATATAGACATATTTTTACCTTTTAAAATAGAAATTTTTAAAAGGGATAAGTAAGCAAAGGTATAGCTATATATGTATTGTATATATATATACATATGTAGTTAAAAGAAAATTCGGTTGCTAAATTTGGCGCAAACATTTATTTTGGCCTAAACAAACACGAATTAAATGAAACTTAAATAAATAAATGGATAATGATTTTAAAGTTATATACAAGACTTAACTAGATTAATAGGTTTTCCTTTTTAATGCATAACAATTGCTGTAAAAGATTAGATTTTCAGCTTTAAATTTATTTAAATTGAGTATGCTATAATAGTAAGAGTATTTTGAATAATGGAATATTTCAATAACTTCTTAATAATATACTATTTCATAAATTATTAAACAAACAAAACCCTAAAATATAAAAATAAATTTAATAAAAGAACAAAAGAATAATAATTATAAGTATTTGTGATTTTTCCAACATCGTAATCTTTATCCAGCAAAAATTGGAACGGTTTAAATTCCAAAAAAAAGATCCAAAAAACTTATCACAATTTTTTACTAAAAGTATTCATTTTCAAACATAAAAACACAATTTACTACTTTTGCTTTAGCATTTATATATGGTTTAGCTTAATTATTTTCATACGACATTCCAATAAAATGGTATCGTTTATTATAACGACTATTAAGTTATACTAATGATTCTAAAAAGACTTCCCAATTAATGAATAGAGTACAATGTGAGTTTCATGTGACTTGTGTGTTTGCCAAGGAGCGACTGAGTCATATTATTTTTTTAAAGTGCCATTTCATCTAAACATTTTATTAAATCCATTCTTGAGAAGGTAGTTGAGACATAAGCAACACCACATGCAATAACTCAGAATGTTCCTTAAGTAACACGCCCGATGTAACTAAATTCACTCAATCTTGGTTAGAAGCGAATATTTCGGCCCTCTCAGAACTGAAAACTGGCCGTCATTCTTCTCGATTGTGATTTTAGATCAGTTTTAAACAGTATAAGTCATGCTTGGAGTCCCTAAAATATTCCACCTAATTGGCAGTGAACATTTCTCCACGAAATGATTGCCTGCTGCGTTTGATAACTGACGTCACATTTAAACAACTGTTTTGCGGCCAATGGACAGTACTTAGAATAAGGTTTATATATTCTTCACAGTTTTATATTAATGTATTAAAATAAAATACTGTAATTATGTTAAATCTAATGCACAATAAAGATTTTTTTTTTATAATTGCGGCAAAACTAAGTGTATCTAATATCCGGTTTCTGGAACAAAACAAACGAGCCTATCAACACAAACTTTAAGATATTCATAAAATTAGCAACAATTATAGAAATTACTAATTACTAAGTGAGTCCCTTAAACAAACCTTAATTATTTAAGTACCTACTTGAATATAATTTGTTTTTGATGTTAGATAAGAAGTATATTAAACATTACAAATAAAGCTAAACAAAAAACAAATGTATATTCCTGTGTAATTAAATTAACATTTATCGCCTTATTATTTAAAATTAGCTTACATATCGGTTTCGAAATTGTACGTATAACCAAGTTTATATCGTCACTTACATACATACGGTTTGATAACAGTTTTTCATTTGTAAATCTTTTCCTATTATACATAGTATTAACGGAGATTCATGTTGTCAAAATAGAAATGGGAAACGCTTAGTATGTGGTGTGAAGATTCTATCTAACTGACAACACCGACTACCGAGCATACTTATAATCCACAAAATATGATATGTGCATTATCATAAAATTCACCAGGGTAAATTATCATCAAATTCACCTTATATACCCTAGATAATGTACAGCCTTAGCCTGATACAGATTTAAATGATTGTACGAATTATAATTATAACCCAGGGAATATTACGTGTACAGTTTATTAATAGCAAAACCGGTTGGCCCATGACTGTCTGCTAACTAATGTGTGTGTGTGTGTTAAGAGAAAAAAAAACAATTAAGGAAATTTCAATGTTTCTAAGTACGAATATATCGTAAATGATCTATATAGAAATAAAAATGATATTTTCGAGCATACAGCTGTTCTATAAGTATTACTTGACTGACCTACGATAAGAATGACAGCTTGTTATACGAGTACGACAATATTAACGAAATGTAAAAGGCAATAAATTAGTATTTAATAAGCACGTGTAAATCAAATAATGGCCTTGAATGCTCAGTATCAGATGTTCAATTCCCAAACACGACGCGAGCTAAGGACGAATCTTAGAGATTATATTGAGTCATTACCACAAGTGGAAGTTTCCATTCTACGACTTATCATTGAAATGTTAACTTCTATGTCACAATGCTAATATAATTATCTTTTTTTATACTTTTTCTTAAAATTCATGATCGGACATAATTTTATTGGATAAGTATGAATATATAATTTTTTTTAATGGTCTTGACTATCAATAAGCATTATTCTTATTATTTTACCAACAGAGTTCAGCTTCTTTCGTTTAAAAAAATATAAAAAAAAACACTAGACACAAAAAGTTAATCTAGACAAAAAACCAATCAAGGTTTTTTTTCAATTACAAAAAGCTATGATTATAATAATTTCTGGGAGGATTCAGAAGATAATTTGCAATAAAAACAATTCATTTCATAATATTTTTAATAGACGTCACAACTTTGTATATTTTAATATTTTATATTTGCTAAAAATTTCGTTGCATAATAAAACCAGAAATATTAAACATAACTAAGGTGGGAGTGTAAAAATAAGATAAACAAAAACTCATACAACATCACAAGATTGTCGCAAAATACTGACCTTATTTGGTTAGTTTAATCAATTGCAGAAGAAAAATAGCTAAACGAACAATTTAGATTAGTCTCTCTCGAAGTTTCCTTGTCAATTATTAACTAAATTATGCATTAAATATTAAAACGATGTTGAACTAAATACTTTCTATTCCTATTTAATTATCGCGAGTTATTAATAGTATGAGGTAATTTTGCGAGAGCTTTAGTGTAATTAATGGTAACTTTGTCGTTATAAACTATCAGCTGATACAACGTAGGTGGTATGGAATATTTTATATATAGAAAATAATCGCTATTGATTATGGCTTAACTAATGGCTTAACTTTACGTCGAATTTCAAATATGCACGTAGAAAAGCTATGTTCTTTTGTCGTATAAATAAGTTAAATGTATATAATACTAGAAGACCTGGCGAACTTCATATCGCCCTATAATAAAGAAATATCTATTACGTTTTTTTATTTATATTTTTGGAGTTTACCTGTAAGCCATAAATCTCTTGTTTTGAAGTGCGACAGAATATTAGTTAGTTGTCAAATCTAATGTCAAAAAAAACGTTTGTATGGGAAATAGAAAGGGCTGTTTTTGTGGTTTTCCCAGTAATGAATCAATTTTTTTAAGCTTTTATACCTCCCCAGAACCTCCACGAACATTTCAAGACTAAGATAAGATAAATCCGTTCAGCTGTTCTCGAGTTTTAGCGAGACTAAGGAACAACAATCCATTTTTATATATATAGAAGATGGAACATTAATATATTTTTATAAGATTACTGCTAATAAAATAAATTCATTCTTAAAAATAACATACGACGCAAAACTTAAAATAAATCGATATATTTTAAATCATTCATAATACTCATATTGTGACAAATACATAATAATTTGATTTACTTGATAATTTATTTGATTCATAAATAAACGTAAAAAGTTATCTACAATGAACAGGGTAAGATCTTTAGTTAAGGCCTTATTAATATAACTTTAAAATTTCGTAGAAACAAAGTGCTTTGGACAGGAAAACTTACTCAATATTAGACCTAACTCTAACATACAATAACATACTTATATCACTGTTCCTTTTTTACAATAGTGACTTTAACTTTATAATCAACGTACATCTGAGCTATAAACATTATAATTTTATACAAAATCATAGTAAACAGAAAGACAACTAAAAGGAATGATGCATAAACATCTAACATATAAAATGAGAACCAATTCAAATTACGTGTAGGATTTTTCATGAACTCGGCGCCATTGTTTCTAATCACATATTCGAACCAAAACACGGCTGTGTCTAGAGGCGTCATGGGGCGATCTTTAAATCTTCTAGAAACTTCCTTAGCTTTTTGCATATAAGAATCATTACTGAGAACCTCGCTGAGAGTTTGAGACAAATAATTTTCATTAATTTCATGGTATTGCATAATTTTACCGAAACCAGCTTTTTCTGCATATAATAAATTATTATATTGATCAGCGTAAATGGGAACGCCGATAAGTGGCACTCCATTGAATATTGCTTCTTGTGTTCCTATTAAACCGCCATGGGATATAAATACTTTAACGTTCGGATGAGCTGGAAAATAAAATTTATTTTACAATTTAACTCAATATTTATCTTTTGAACGCATATATAAAAACATTTTTTAAAGTGGCAATTTTGTTGTAAGTTAATTTAAATACATTTTTATGTTTAGAAGACGACAAGTAAATGTACACATATCAAAGTGGAAACAGGTTTTTATCGTTTTATTTCAGTTCCGAAAATTTAATAAGATTAAAATATCTAAGATCTATTCGTCAATCTAAAATAATGACAGCATTTTTATATTACTATTAACTGTGCTATATATAATTAATGTACTATTATCTTAATTATTTCCCAAATCGGGGAACATAAAAGCAAGTCATCAGGTTTATCATGAATGGCTTCATCACAAAATAACCTTGATAGATTATAAATATGTAAATATTGTTAGTTGTTTTCGAATCATATATATTTTGATCAGATGTTACTAATGTAACTAAATACGAAGGAACAAAACGAATTAAAGAGGGAAATTCAAACCAGTCCGTAAGTTGATCAGTTCAAAATTATTCAAAACTGATAAATATCTGTTAATTTTCAATAAAAAATGCTTTAATTGCATTTTTAAGACAGTGATATAAATACATACCAAGAATTTCTTTTTGCGGCAGCCATTTGCGTGTAATTAGATTTTTCGGTTTGTTTTCCAAATTATCATCTTCCCATTTCCATAGAACAGTCTGATTAAGATTAGCAAATACTTTCAGAAATGCTTTCCTTTTTGAGTCTGGCAATTCAGCACTTTTTACGTTAGAACCCAAGCTCATGTAAACAACTCCATCCTTTGAATTATCCAGAATCTTTTGAAGATCCTATAAATTAATAAACGCTATTTAATGTGTCGAAGATAAGAGATAGATTATAATCAGGAATAAAAACAAATTACTCTTACATCAGGAAGAGATGTATTACTTCGAGTCAAATGAACACCTCCGATTTCAACAATGTTTGGTAGAAAAGCAGCAGGAATTTCCACACTAAAGTGGCTATTTATTAACATTAAAGAAACATTTTTTTGTAATTCATATAATTTTGGTACTTTTCCAGACAGTTCTGGTAAATATTTTGTCACTAAATTTTCATGTTTTTCGAGATACCAGTATCGCCACCAAATATATTCGTACAAAGTGAAATAAATGTTTCTCATCCTTCCCATAAAACTTGTTGGATTTTTGATATCCAGGAATTCAGATAGGATATTAGGTATTTGCAGTGGATTACCCGTTGCAATATTATGCCTCATACAAGAACCAAAAGTAGTCACTAACGCTAAAGGCGCATTATATTTGTATGCGAGAGCATACATAGCCTCCTGGAAAAATTGCTCACAAAGAACTAGATCAAAAGTATTGTCGTTTTTCAAGAACTTCCTTACTTCAGTAGAATTCAATGCTAACTCAGTGAAAGCTACGCCACCTGGCCATAAAATCTTATCGTGGAACTCCTCTGCAGACATATCGACCATAGTAAAAATATTTGGACGCTCCACTCCTAGAAACACAGATGTATGACTGACATATACAAAAAAAATAATCATCAAGTACAGGTAAGTCAATAGTACGAAGATAAAAAACTTAAATTACCGAAGTTTAAGTTTCTGCATTTATATGGGTATGTTTATCTGTGTATTAAAATAATTATTACTAATAACATAACTATATAAACGGAAAGATATTCATGTATATAAAAGTATTACTAAATATTTTTTTATTGAAATTTGTTTCTAAATGTGAGATGTAAACAATGTTTATTTGTGTATCCGTCTATTTGTTTACATATTTACGGTAAAGTATTTGTAAGCAGTAAAGAAGCAGTAAGCAGAAAAAGAAAAAAATATCTTATGAGTGCACAACTCTTCCGGGTACCTATATTTTAATTGTAATTCTTATAATTTAATTTCTCATTGATAGTGATATCCTATTCTAGTGTCGCAAAATCTATATTTATATAAATGTAATAAAAAATTAATTGACATTAAGATTAAAATAATCGAGAATAAAATATCGATAATGTATATAGCAACCCTTTAACTCACCTAGAATGTCCCATATTTTTTTATCATCTACCAAAACTTGATGATAATTCGCAGGTGGATTATTATCCCTGATAGGGGTGATCACAGTTACATTGTGACCTCTCCGTGCTAATTCTAAGCCAATTGGTTTTAACATTATGTAATGTGATATCGAAGAAAATGGCATAACATATAATATATTAGCTGAATGTACGTACGACAAACATACAACAAATAATATTATCTGAAAACGAAGCTGGAAAGACAACAGTTACGGGTTAATGAATTGTTAAAACAATATATATTTTGGTTATTTCTATTACAACTGCTATTTTGTTTTTAATTATATTCATTGTTTAAAATTAGTTCTTCAAATAAACAAAAAAAAATTAATAGTTTATTTTTAAGCTTTAAGTGTTACTATTTTATTTCAATTTAATTAATTTAATCATAGAAGGATATGAATATATGAACTAGTAAGAAAATGTATTTTTGTATATGACAATATTATTATTAATAATGTACTTACCATGTTGTTAGCTGGACAAGAACCTTAACACTAAAAAGAATTAACTTGATGAAAACAAGTAATTTACAATGATATGTCTATCGTGCGTCGTATTCGATTCTTAATGACTAGTCCTACCATGAGACGGCGAATTAAAACTTTTTATCTTTTCGCAATGACCTTCATTCATTGTATTAAATTTAATAAAGCACATTAAAGTAATACCAACAAATTATGTAACGTAAATTTATTAAATGGAAGATTTTTTGATAAGTTTGAATTTGTATCAATCATTCAAAATATATTTTAATTTACAGGCTGTATTGTAATAAAATATTTTCAAAATTGTTATGCAAAAATGTTAATCAATATAAAATCTATACTATTTTTCGCCGTAATTTGCAACATTTACCGTCTACTTATATTATCAACGAGACGTATTATTAACAGAAACAGTAATTTTCTCAACATAACAAGGTTTTAGACTAGGAGCTGTTTGTCGTTTTATTTATTTGGATGATTTCTGTTGTTTTTTAATTAAACTTACGTTCAAAAAATGAAAGGATTTGTAATCATTAAATTTTCTATCTATGTTATTTTTATTACGATATATTAATAATATGTTTAACTTAGAAAATTAAAATTATATCAAAAGAAAACTTTATCAAAAAATCGTTTTAACTATTTCGTGTTCTGTCCTAAGGTCGTTATTTTAAATTGCCAGCAGGTATGTATATTTGCCGGTACATAAGTTAGCTCGGTTTTGGAGTAGTGGGAATAAGTTTGCGCATGTACAGTGATTACAACAAAAGTAGTCACTTTTGATGATTATCAATATATTAATGAAATAAGCTGGATCCAAGGCTGTTCGAAAATTTAAACAACGAAGACATCACACCATCATTAAAAGAAATATACGAAAGATTGAATGAATCTACAACTGAAAAATCAACTGACAGTCATTGAGCGAATTTAGAGGAGTTCACCAGTTTAAAAGCTAAAGAACAGCTAGCGTGTGAGCTTGAAAGTTGCTAAAACCTAAAAATAAAATAGCATCCACGACTTGCGAACGACTTTGCATAGTGAAGGTGGCGACAGAGGTAAGCATTTAAATCAGTGATATAATTATTTGTCCTCCCCCCTCCCTACTAGCGTCGAAGCAGAGAGAGCTTTTCTTAAAACAGGTAACTTGCAACAATATCATATCCTCTCTATCTGAAAACTTTGAATGACCTTTGCTTTTTGCGTGCCTATTATAAAAATGAAAAATTATATTTCACTTATATATAATTATATTGTAATAATTGATTTTTAAAGAACTTAATAAAAATACCTTCGAGTATAAAACTTATGTTCAAAGTTTCATCTTTCCCGGGAATCCGGGGACCGGTCCAAAACTCGGTATTTTTTCTCGGAACTCCAAATGTATTGAGACTTACTCGCAAGTGTTCTGGGTACAATTATTGTAGCAAACATCCAATCACGCGCACCGAATTGTGACGTCTCGTTCTCAGCGAACCGCATCATACACCTGACAATTAAAAATCGCTTTCTGCGCATCTGTCGCCTTTTGTCAAGTTACGTGCTGTACTATAATCTGTTTACTCTTTAATCATATAAAGGCGTGATCTGTTGTTATTTTAAAATTATAATTTAAATTAAACATATTGATATTGATAATACCACACGAAACACAAAAAATCCTTGTGTTCACTGCACTGTTGTATGTACTTCACCGCAACGTATGAAATGTTTACCCTCTGACTTCCGAGACAAATGACGTACATGTCCATTAGTAATTGAAACTTTTTCTTTGTGCCAAGTCTTTTACGAATAAATAAAATGTTATTAACATTATTATGTATAGATATCATATGTTAATGATGCTTGTAATTAGTTATATTAATTATGCGTAAAATAATTGTGTTTTGTCCAAGAAAACATTTTTCAGTTTGGGAAAGTGGATTTATTAGATGAATGTTTGCTACTTCAAATAAAACTAAAAAATTGAGATGTAAAGGCAAGTGTCTGTATTCCATGTGAAAAGTAAAATTGTTTATATATTATAAAGTGCATAGTAACATTATCTGTACTTAATAAAGTACCAGATCATAATGTTTGTTTGGCTTTGATACCTTCATAAGGTCAGTTATATTCTCTGTACCTTTACAATGTAAAATTCATAGCTAAGAAAAAAGTATACAGTTTCACAAAGATTATGGATTATTCAATCATAATTTTATTTAAAGGGAAAACAATTTAAAATAATAAAGAGAAGTAAGAACATAGTAAAGTACATATTTGGATGTATCCAACAAACATATTTCTATGTCCATACCAAAGATGCAAGTTACTTCTAGAAACATAAACACAATAATATCCAATTATAAGTATTTTATGACACAATTAATGATGTAATACATAACAATGTCCACTTCACACAATTTTATTTTTAAGTTGTGTGAAAAAATGTTAAGGCTTTTAGTACCTACTTCATTAAAACAATAGTTATTTCTCGATCATTTTCATTATGTGTTCAAAGTTTGTGTAAGTTAGAAGTTAAATGGAGTACACAATAATTGGTATTATTTATATAATAACAATATCTATTTTTTTTACAGATAACCTAATCAAAGTTATGAGTACTGTATTTCAAAACTATAACATTATCAAAATAATTGAACATTACATCAGGTGAATTATGCAAGTACTGAGAAATTAATTTGTAATCTATTTGTACCATAGTTACTTATACTGAATACTGGAGTTTGGTAATCAACATACGGATATCTTGTCTTTTTAATATATATAGACGCCCAGATAAGGAAAAACAAAATGTAATATTATACATCACACAAAACAATTGAAGTGCAGAAATTTACAAAATAAAATGTGTCTACTATTACTAAAACAGTTTAGTATGATAAAACAATGCTTTGATAAAGAGTTTGTGTCTTTTCACTAAGATATTCCTAGCATAAATATTTAGCAAATCTTACAGAATAATAATTATCAATGTTCTACTTAGTATACCTGAATGGATCCTGATTTAATAGCAGACTTAGTTTTACATTCATATTAATAAAAAAAGACAATTTTTTATATGAAAAAAACACAGTTATTCAATATTACAACTTTTTGTTAATTTCTTGTAATGGTTAAACTCTCAAAAGTTTTTTTATCTTTTTTTTATCAATATAATGGAACTATATCCTGCTAATAATTCATACATTTTTGTTACTATTAAGACATTATATTTCATTTGATTAGTATTTAAATCTTATATATATATATATATATATATATATATATATATATATATATAAATGGATTGCTGTGCCTTAGTCTCGCTAAAACTCGAGAACGGCTGAACCGATTTGGCTAATTTTAGTCTTAAAATACTTCTGGAAGTCCAGGGAAGGTTTAAAAGGTGAGAAAAATTTGAATAATTGCCGGGAAAACCCTAAAAACAGCCCTTTTCTATTTCCCATACAAACGTTTTTTTTTGACATTAGATTTGACAACTAACTAATATGTCAATCATTCTGTTTGATTGAAACAGGAAAAACCTGATAATTTATGGCCTCTAAGACGGAATAGAGTTCGCCTGGTCAGCTATACCTACATATATTACTCTTGACCAAACTAACGCGGACGAAGTCGCGGGCAAAAACTAGTTACAAAATAATTATTATTTATAGAGGAATGCAATATTTAATTATTTACTAACTTTAAATGTCAATAACAACATGTACTGTCTAAAATATCAAAACGGGGTTATTGTGTAAGGCCACAGCTTTTAATTTTTGATTATGCTTACATTAATAACTACATAGACCAAAAAAACTTTATATTACAAAGAACACGTTTCATTCCTTATGGAATAGAGTAAAAGTGTTAATTGAGTTAATTTTACATTAATTTACCGTTGTTTTATTATTATTATTTTGTTACTATTTTATTCCAACAATAGTAGTAAACGAAACGCCAATACTTGCGGCAAAAATTTACATAATATTTTGAAGCAAATTTTCAGGTGCTGAATGATTTTCTCGTAGGTTGCTCATTAGTTATGAAAATAACATGGTCATTGAAATTAAAGTAGATGAATTACAAGAATTTGTGTTAACCGTGGAATAAGCTTTAAATACTGAATGAATGAATTTCTGTTGAAATGTATTAAAATATTGTGATGTCATTACTCGCTCAAAAGAAAATTAAAACATTTTATCAGTTACAATATACAAATTATAAACAGGTAAATGAGTATTCACTTTCTATTCGTATATTAATATTTTGTATATTATAATTTAATGAAAATTTGCATCGTAACAAATAAAAAATAATATTAATAAATTTTGATTTCACTTTCAATAAATCATTCTTACATTAAAGGCATAACGAACACATTCTGCCCCTAATTATACTAAAAAAAACTACTAGTAGAATCTCCGCACATACTTCCTATATACAGGTATATATCCTATTATTATTCCCATGATATATTTATTAGGGCGTGGACACCATCCTATTCTTGCCATTTATAAAGCGACATTAACGATGTTTTGTCTGAAGATGTACCTACCGTTGTGTCAATAAGAGGTAATTATATTGATATTATAATTTTGATTTTTATGAAGACTATTAATCAATATTTTTAAAGTACCTCGTTTTCATCTGCAATAAAATCCGAATCCCTTAAATAATTTTAAATTCAATTCATATCATGCTTGTTATTCAATTGAGTGGTATTACCTATAGGTAAATAGAAAATAAATGAGTTTGAATATTTGTTTCTTGAACCCTATTAGTGTGGTTGTTGTAGGCCACTGAATCTGTAAATGAACCCATTCCATGTTTAAAATGATTTGTTTAAAAATTATTTTGTCTTCCCTCTTCTATTTTAATATCCCTTCACTGCATTCCTTGACGTATAAGCTAAATATTTCGTTCGACTTGCAAGAAATATTTTAAGTCTTACAATTTAAAAGAAAACTGTCTGTTTTACGGGGTCTTATCAATTAAAGCGCATTTTAAAGCGGTAAAACGAAGACTGAAAATGAACGTGATGCAATGAATTGAATGTTTTAGTAGTTTTAAATAAATGAAAAAAAAATATTCTGTATTTATTAAGACTACGATTATCTTACCAAAAATATTGTCTTTGATCTTTCTATAGTTTTAGAATATACTGACTGTTATACTTCCTTAGACTAGGTATGTACTTTGAATAGTAATTCTAGGAAGTCTTTATACATTAAATGACACTGCGATTCTAACAGTAATTGTCTTGAAACAAAGTTATATGATACTTGTACTCTAAATATGTAGTATGTAGTGTATATATTATACTATACTATTAGTGTGGTGGATTCATTATATTTCAATTATATTGCCGCGATAAATACATGTAATTTCCAGAAAAAAATAACTAAAATATACATTATACTTTTAAATAAAAAAGTCATAACACCTCTTACAATAGCAAAAAGTTTTTAAATTAATATCTACATAGAGGTTTTTTAAAATAACAATTTTTAAATCATAATTATCTTTACCATTTTGTGAACTTTAACGATTTCTTTCTGTTAGTAAATACCGACTCGACAAGCTAGGATGTCTAATAAATAGTCAATCACACTTTATTTTAAGATATATTCTTGTCAAAAATATTAATGGAAGCATGTTACTTATTACAAAATAACTAAATATTTTATATACATATATCGTGACTAAATAAAACAAACAACCAAGGTATGCATGACATTCAAATAAATACAAATAAAGGAAATATATATTTATTGGATAACAATTGATTTTTATTTTCACATGTTCCCTTCGTTTCACTTATTTTAAATCAACGATGATTCCTTGTGCTTATAAATGTTTCCACTCAAAAATCCTAGATATAATTTAATAAACACAAACTTAAATTTATACCAGAAAAGCACAATATATAATATATATGTGCTATAACAAAAATGTTGAGTTCAAGGTTGTTTAGTATCAGATTATCAACATTTTTTTGCTAATTTAAAAACGTTTGAATCAGTTTGCACGTGATCTCAAATATTACTGATAAATGTTTTTATATTCGGTTAACTTTTTCATCCAATACAATACAAGTATAAGCTTTGTTTCGACTGTTACTAAACTAATAAAACAAACAAAATAAACCCTGATGAAGTAAGCCCTGATAGTCCCCGCCGAGGCCTAAATACATATGTACATTGTACATAAAGGGTGAATATGCCGATTATTATAGATGTGTTATAGCACAATGAAAAATTCTGATAAGAAAAAAACAAGACTTCAAGACAGAAACAAACTATAGTTCCTACTTAAACATGTACCTTTCTGTATGAGTTACTAGGTATAGTTGGTAAATCTGTTGTAATATTTCCATTTATGATGTATTATTTCGCCTTAAAAATAATATCTTCTTAATATTAAACCTGATGAAAATAGGGTATTGGTAATAAAATTGCAGATCTTAATAAGTCATATATCTAATTGATCAGCTTTAAGACATTTTTACTCTATTTCAAATGAAATTACCTTGTTCATCTTTATTCAAATAAATTTTTTCTTAACTTTCCTTATCGTTGTAATACATTACTTAGAGACGAAGAAGATGCCATATCAAGAAAGAAGGCGTAAATAGCGGCACTACCTAATATGTAAATATTTTTAGTATGGTGAAGTAGTTAGAACAATTATAAAAAGTACGTTTAACACTTTACCTGAGCTTACAAAAATGCTACGAAACTATTTAAGTATACATCAGAGTAAAAATTATATTTCTAAAACGAATAAGTAAAACCGATGTTAGTTGTGGATTACCATCGTATTTCTTATAGATAGGGAATCTTCCCTTCCACCCGGGCAATTGTTGGTTTCACGGAGACAAAATTTTCACTCTTCATTCATACAATGATGATGCCTAGCGATGTCCCGTATTTTTTTTTGCATGTAGCAAATTATTTGCTCAAAATGGTTTTATAGTACCTATCTCCCCGACAAATACTTCTTCTCAAGAGGAGTGACAAATAGCGGCGCTAGAAAACGTGGCCCATAAATTTTTCCTCACTTGCAACACTTACCTAGCTTACTTGTCATTTTACCACTAAAAGGGCTATTAAAACGCAAGTTTTTGAAATTTTCTGTATTAACTACATGTCCTGTGAGATCTGCAGATTAAAAAACATTTTCAAATTTACCTAAAAAACGTCATAATATCTGATTCTCATGTATCATTTATTTTTCCTTTGAAAAAAATTGTATTGTTTGTCTATGGGTATAAAGCTCCAAACAATGTTGCACATGGACAGTAAATGCCACAATATTTTATCTACTTGATTTTAGCAATTGGTTTGATAGCATGGATCATTAAATCATTCCCATTCTATTACGAGTATATTCTACTAGCATGTGCCTATCAGTAGGAAATTGATCTCAGACCTACTCTCTCGAACCTTGGGGCGCCAATGGACTGACAAATCTCTCGTCATATTTTGACTTTGTAAGGGAAGCTAAGATTGCATGATACTTTTTGTTTACATTATTAATCCCCTAACTTCGAATATTCTTTATCACGATTTATTCGTATTCAAATTTATATTATGTCTATATTTATCAAACTTATTAATTACATGGAATTAAGTTTTAGTTTTTGCTAATTATTCTCAACAGTGAAAAAAGGTTATGCTTAGGCCTTAAACACAATATTTGCACAGACTGTCTAGAAGCACTCAATGCCTTGGCCAAATTTAAGGAACTCGATGACATTGTATTTGATTGTAGCCAATTTTGTATTTGGTGGTTTTTTAAAACTAGTATTATTGAGCTCTTTAGGGATATTTCCAAAAACCTAATAGAATTTATAAGAAAAAATATTATGTATACTGCTAAAATAATATTTTACGATCTGTTTACTGGGTGTGAATTTAAATTTTGTTGTAAGGATTTTTACATTTGTATAAAGTTATTATTATATGTCCAAGCAAACATTTTAAAAATACAAAAGGATATCACATGAATTTTAAACATAATAATTTATTTACAGATACAACATAATAGCATTAAAAAATAAAATATTTACAAAATATCAACAAATTCAATAGTTTCATTGAAAACAAAGCCTTTGAATTTAATACGTCTGTGTATTTTTGTTGAATCTTACATAGTTATACCATTTTTTTATCTGATACCTTGATCACAGTGAAGATGTTTTTACTCCACAAACATAATTTTATAAAGACAAACATTATCATTGTCAAAATTAAAACTATGAATAAATATATATCAAGCATGTTATAGGCAACCCAACTCAACTTACGAGCAGGATTCTTCATATATTCCGCTCCCTTATTTCTAATAACGTACTCCAGCCAATAAATAGCTGTATCCATAGGAGATAAAGGTCTGTCTAGAAATCTTCGAGAAACTTCTTTGGCAGTTTCCATATAGGAAGCATTATAGAGCACTTCATTGAGAACTGCACTCAATGTTTTTTCGTTTATATCATGGTACATTAAAAGTTTACCGAAACCCGCTTCCTCAGCTAGCAAAACGTTGTTGAATTGATCACCAAATATTGGAACTCCCACAACAGGAACGCCATTGATTATAGCCTCGTGCATTCCAATTAAACCACCATGGGAGACAAACACTTTTATATTAGGATGTTCTGAAATTTGAAACCATAATCAATCATTTTGTTTATTTTCTTCTCTTTTTCACATATAACTTTCAATTACTTAAAAATTTACATATTTAGATGAAACTTTTAAAATATAACCACGCTCCTTCGAAAGGAACATTTTTATGTTTTAAAGTTTAAGATTTGTGTTTACTGTATTGCATCAATTGTTTTTATTTTAATATTATTTAAACAATGAAGAACCTTATACTCTTTCAAAATCATAACGTGTCATAAGATAAATATAAATTGTGTGTAAAAAAAGTCTTACGGAGAATTTCCTTTTGAGGAAACCATTTACGTGTAAATAAATTGGATGGTTTGTCATCTAACACGTCATCTTCCCATTTCCACAACACAGTTTGTTTTAGCTGTCGAAATACATTTAAAAATGCATTCTTCTTTTGTATCGGCAGTTCAATACTTCTTACATTTGAACCAAAGCTAACGTATACAACACCGTTACTTGCTTCGTCTAAGAGCTTTTGAAGATCCTGAAAATATTTGCATAGGTAACGAATAGCTTATAAAAAAGTATATTTTATTTTTAAAACCATATTTCCAACATACCTCAGGAAGGCTGTTATTACTTTTTGTTAAGTGAACTCCACCAATTTCAACAATATTTGGTAAAATTGCTGCAGGCGTGTCATAGCTAAAATGGCTGTTAATCAACATCAAAGCAGTTTCTTTTTGCATTTCGTACAGTGAAGGTACTTTTCCTGTCAATTCTGGTAAATATTTTCTTACCAATTTCTCTTGCTCCTCCAGAAACCAATACCTCCAAACAATGTAGTGATAAACATTGAAATACAAATTACGAAACCTTCCCCAAAAGCTTGTTGGATCTTTTACAACTAATAGTTCTCCCATAACTGTAGCCATTTGTAAAGGATTTCTTGTAATATAATTATGTCTCATACAATTTCCATACGTTGTGACTAGTACCAGAGGTGCATTATATTTATAAGCCAGAGCATACAACGCTTCATGATAAAACTGTTCACTTATAACAAGATCGAAAGCATTATCTTTCTTTAAAAAAGTCATAAATTCCTTGGAATTGAATGTAAGTTCTGTGAAAGCTATTGACCCAGGCCATACAATTTTATTGTACATTTCTTCTGTACTCAAATCCACCATGCTAAAAACAACAGGTCGCTCGATACCTGTAAAAATATGTTAACCCGGGGTTATTCTTACTTTAGTTCTAATATTTAATTTATGCAAAACAACAGTGTTTTTACAACATTTTATGTTTTTATTGATTTAAGTAATTCTATTTTAATGGATGGGTCACTTATTGACTCTTTTTAAAACAATATTTTTACTGTAAGTTGAGACCCTCTCCTTTTTATTTTAAAACATAAAAGCACATTAAAATATATTGTTGTTGTATCATTCTTAGTTACGTTACACTTTGGCCTTTATAAGCCTACCAACTGATATAGATGTAAACAGAAAACGTCTCGAAAAAACCAAAGAAATTATTACAAACTTGGATGAAAAATAACCTTAATAAAAAAAACAATAGTAGGTTCTTACCAAGTAGGTCCCATATCTTTGTATTATTAACTACAACCTGATGATAGTTTTGGGGAGGATTGTTCTCTCTTGTTGAAGTTATAACAGTGACGTTGTGTCCTCTCCTAGCTAGTTCTGTTCCGATAGGTTTCAGCATTATGTAATGAGATGTCGCAGAGAATGGCATCACGTATAGTATATTCGCTGACTCCGAGAAATTCGTTAAAAACGTTAGCAATGTTAATACCCATATTTGCACCTGAAATCCAATTATATAACAACAAGTAAAAAATATAAATAAATACAGTAATATGGCGACGACCAAAAAATCCAATCGTCAATAAAGAGATACACTCTTTTTTGTGCCGAACCGAAAACAAAATACCTTTAAATATTAAAAGTAAAATTATTGGAATTAAAAAAAATGTAATTTTAACCAAAAATTCACATTAATTAAATAAATTCTAGTCCCATGTGAAACATTCACAGTTAAAATTTTTAAAATTTTCAGTTCGCTGTGTTTGAAATGCAGAGTCTGTCGTGTATATTACTTTTCCTGCTTACGAATCCCGGTCGAAAAATAAATACGTTGTTATAGTATATTTTTACGTATATATGTAAAGCTATATTAAAGTATGTTCTTTAAACAATATAGAAGTACATAATAATTTTTTTATTATTTTATTTATAATATATTATTTTAAGAATTTATTAATCGCGGAATGATATACCCGTAACATGTTCTATGATAATATCACGTTAATTCATTAAGATTATACCGAATAATTCAAATACATTCTTCATTCTTGAATAAAATAACAAAGCCTCTGTTTCATGGGATCATAAATATTTTAAGTTATTACAATCTATTCATTTTTACACAGTGATGGAACTGCCATTCCAAAGTAAAATGTATGTAATACCATAATATATGTTAACGGAAATGTATGTTATCCGTCATTGTATATGTATATTGTATGTGTATAATACACATTTTCTAAATAACAATCGGAAAAATAAAATATTTGAGATATTAATGAGTTCGCGGATACAGCGGGACGACGGGAGGGGCATGTCAGGTTAGGTTATATTTTACGATATGTCCGTTACTCGATTGTCTCAATGAGTGCTATAACAAAAAATATGTCTCCTTTTAATATTTATTACATTAGTATTTCATTACAGAAAGCAGATATTTTATGAATTTCCTAATACGATTTTGGAATTATATACAATTCCTAGGTATTTTACACATTTCATATAAAACTCTAAGGGGCAGAGGGCAGTCAACGTTCAGCAACAAGCCACACAATATGAGTGCAATTTCTATCTCAAATGTAATATGAAAATAACTGAAATTAATATAATAAATAAGTCTAAAATTACACTGCCAAATGTTTTAGTAATGCCCATTATTAAACTCTCAGTAAATGAACACTTAATGTAAAGGAGAACAAAAGAAATGGATGGATTACCGTCCAAGGTAAAGAATACTTACCATTATAAAATTGATAATGCACACGTACTATCGATATCAGAGCAACGAATAAACTGTTGCCAAATTATTTTGTTTTAAAGTGTTCATTGTAGAATACTTTACACCGATATATACCCACTAAATAAGTATTACTTACGTAGATTTTGTATTGATATATCTTTACAGATGCTACTGTTTAAAATTTTTTTAATCAATGTTTTAGTATTCCTAATAATCATAAAACATTCAACAAAATTGTACATTGTATGACAGTAGATATTCAATTGTCACTTACAGATAAACATTTTTGTAAAGTACCCACATATATGTATTTTGTATAATTAGATTATCATACTAAATTATTAAAGTTCAATTTTTGCAAAATTGAACTTTAATATTATCAAAATCTTTTATTATAAAATACATACTTTAAAAAAATGCAGTCATGATAAAAAAAACAAGTTTTTAATTCTATTTATGTGAATTTAAGGTAAAGATTATAATTAACACTTTATATCAATGTTCAAAGCTGTATTACAAACAAGGCTATTAACGTCACACGCTTAACCTAATTATGATTTATACTTAGAAATAATAGAAACTGAAATGACCGTATGATTTTAGTTAAGGGTATATGTTGAGTCCTATTGTAATGGTTACCTATAGAACAATAGCCAAGACTAATTTAAATAGACAAAGAATATTATCTAAATTACTAAAATGAATGCTGTTTGTTAAACTTCAATTTCTGTATATGTACTCGTATCTACAAATATGTATTACATCTTGTAATGATGTACTCATTTGTAGTAGTTAAATATTTAATAATTGTTAACATTTATTTGTGAATAGGCTCAGTTTTGCAAATGTATACAGAAACTGTAAGAGAGGTTTTTAAAAACGACTGCTAATAATTGTTGTAATGTGTTTAATGTAACAGTCAGTCAATTCTCATCGTTTGGTCGGCGAAGAGTTCATCAAGTGTGCACTAAATGTGAACACATATTGTAATTTAACGAGGGCTTATACTTTGTAAGTAATATTTTGTCTTTTGTACAATGTTATAGCTATTAGCGTTTCACTGACTGTTAATTATTAAAATGTGATTAAGATGACTGATCTCGAAACTATCCATATATTTGTAATTGTGATAAAGAAATATAATTGTTTTATTAAAATTTGAGAAAGCTATTAATATTAAAGCCAGTGATTAAACGTTAATTAAATATGACAATAAAGATTGTGACATAAGTATGTACGGAATCGATACCCTAAAACAATTGTAATGAAAACTAAAATTCTAACACTTTTTAAGCCAATACATGACATATACAAATGTTTCCTTTGTATTTTGTCAAATTTATTATATGTACATATATAAATAACGACGATTTTTCATATTATAAGAATGCGTAACTTTAAATGAAATATTTTAAAGTATTATATTTATAATTATTGAATTGATAATTTAAGTTCAGTGAGATTTACTAGGGTGTAGTACAAAAAGGCAGTGATTACTATAATAATGCTATTAAGGTCCAATTCTGAATATAATATTGTTGTAAAGTAGGTACATATTATACCATAGGAAAAGGGGCAAAAGGAAAAAACACTGGAGCCCAGTTGTGGTCAAGTTACTACAGTTTGAACATGGGCTGGCTCGACCGAGTACCACCAAGTACCACCCTCTCACAGAAGAACGGTGTTAGGTAGTCTTTAATGGCTGTATTTCGTCCGATGAGTGAGAGAGCTGGTTGCCTAGTTAGTTTTTTCACCCCCTCCTTTGACTCTTCCACAATTAAGATTGGCAACGCTTCCACAACATTCCTTATATTGCAGATATCCAAGGGCGACGGTGACTATCTTCCATCATGTAGGCTGTCCGCTCGTTTGCCTTTTTGATATAAAAAAGTGAGTATATATACGACTTCTTTACTAAGCTAGTCTCATTATGTACGTTGCTTTGATATATTTACGTACATGTTCTGCTACATACCCAATAATAATTAAGTAGGTAATCACATTAAAATTATAACTAAATATCTACGTGATATAATACATTGAAATCTTATTAAGAGAGACGTCAACGGACCTACAAAGTTTAAGTTTTGGAAGAATTCCACATAAATAGTGTCTCTTTCATATATTCAGGTATAAACATCTGGTTCATTTACAAAAGGTCCAATTAATAGAAGTCAGAATAGAGATTATTTTAGTCAAAGAATTAAAATTAACAATTAAAGTATAGCTTTTAGATGATAAAATTTTAATATATTCCGAATGATAGTAAAGCAAAACTAAAACTGAAGGTCTCTGAGGCTTAAAATCACTTACGTAGTTAAGAAGGACTTAATGGGTAGAATAAGAATAAGAAAATAAACAAAACGATGTTATGTTGGTTACAGAGGTTAATGCATATAAAATTCATACGCTGTCTCGGTTATACAGGTAACTATGAAGATAAATCAAGAAGAACGAATCCCAGATAGAGGTTACCTTCGTCCCACTAACAGAGGTAATTCAGTACCAAGGTGTTAGGACTTGAGCGTGTCTTTCAGTTATGGAGATATTGGATTTAATGAATGTGCAAAAGCAGTAAATAGTTGTAAAACTTTTCTTGAGTTTTCTAATCTTCTTTTGAATAAGTTAATTCTCTTAATGATCTTTTTACTAGTGAATATTGATAAAAAATTAATTCTTGTCAATTTTATATTAAGTGTAATTGTGAAATGAAATTTTAAATTTTGCTTTAAAACTGGAGTTAAAATAAAGTTAGTTACATATTAGTAATACTTAAGTACATTTGACAACAAAAGAATACTGGAACAGATTTCCTTTAACGTTATATAAAGGCTTACCAAGGCAATGAAGCAATTTATTTTTTACAAAATAATAATAAACTATCCGTTTGACAACTGCGATGACACGAAATATACATGACGGATATGTAAATACAAACTTTAAAAAAGGTACGTAAAACACACATATTTAAGTATGCCCACAAAAAATATTTACTTTCAGACATTTACGCCAATTTTAAAATCACGGATTTTGTTATGAAACATTTTATATAGGTATTGGATATGTAATTGTTACAAAGATATTGAGTAATGTATGTATAGATTTTTTCTTACCTTTCTTTAATTGAAGCATTCATATATTATCAACACATACTCACAAGGAGATCTTGTACCCGATTTTTTATCACTTTATAAACTAATAATTTTATTTAGGTAATTATAATAGTGGTTTCGAGTCCAGGTCAAACAAAGGAATTTTGACTTTCGGCAATTGCCTAATTAAACCTAGAAGTAATAGCTATGTACTTCGTTTGAATTGAATGTTTAACATAAATACCTACTTAGTTTTAACGCCCATAAAAATGAGAAATTGAAACTGAAGCGAGAATTTATACTCGTAAAATATTTTTAAATCCATTATTGAAATACTAAAGCTTAAATAGACTGGGAGACATCTATATACATATATAAAAGAAAGTCGTGTTAGTGACTGCACTTATAACTCAAGAATGGCTGAACCGATTTAGCTGAAAATTGGCAGGGAGGTAGTTCAGAGCCAGGAAATTGCAATAGGATACTTTTTATCCCGTTCGACAGCATTCCCGTGGGACTTGACATGAAACGTCAGTCACTATAAAACGTGGAATAACGAAACACAATTGACAGCTATGCAATTGACGTATAATGATAGATATGTAATGACGTAATGATGACAATTAGATATTTGTAAGAGATCTACTACATATATAAAAATAAGTCCGG